ACACACACACACAGGCCAGCAGTCTCTGGTTTCAGGGCAGGCGTTCCAGGAACATTAGGCAGAGGATGCACTTCTGTCCATTTTGTCCACTTACTATGGCCTCATATCCACCTTCCCCTGCTCCTGACCTTCAGTCCTCTGTTGATATCACTAAGCAAGGTGCCCTCCCACCTGTTGTTAACAACACTAGTGTGCAGAAGTCAGTCAAGACTCCTAAGTCTACAACACTGCCTTAGATGTCAATGAGAGAGTTCATCTCACATACCAACTCAATGAGTGGAAATGGCTGCTAAGGGCATTGCATGAGGAAAGACTCCGAGGCTGTATCCATATTCAGCATGAACGAGTGTCACGATGAATTTTTTTTCGCCCTTTTCTCTTTGCGGAGTGGAGAAGTGGAAATCAAGAGACAGCACCAGCATGTGCCCTGGGCATGCTCACTCTGCAAACACCATCCCAGAGTTTGTTTCCTAGATCCAACACAGCACCCCACTGCCCCAAGCTTCTCACTTTTGGGCAAACAGACAGAAAACAGTATAATCTGGATCAAGAGCAAGATAACAAATTATTCTTAGATAAGCTGAATTTGAGATATCCCTGAGGCTTTTGCCAACAGGCAAAGGACAACAGGGTCCAAGCTCACAGGACAGCTGAGGCTACAGATCAGCTGGCAGCTGTGAGAACTTGAAGATAGTGCATGGGGGAGTCACTGGAAGACAACAGAATGAGAAGAGCAGAGTGTGTGCGGCAGCTAACAAGGAAGACAGGAAAGTAAAAATCCACAGGAAGCACCAGGAAAAGCACCTCCCAGGCAAGCTGGATTCTGTACTTCAGTGACCAGTCAGCACCCTGAGAGAGAGAGAAATAGCCCTTAAATACAGCTCTGAAGCAATTCGGAATTGCAAGTGGGGGCAGCGTCACAACTTGAATGTGACTACATAAAGGATTTCTAAGTTTAATTAACTTCAATTCCAAGTGTCTGGGGTCAATTAAATACTGATAGTTTCTAGATAAGAAGAAAACAAAGAGGAAAGACTCAGTAAACAATGGACATTTGCCACTTGGCAAGTGGCACCCCAAAGCCACTCTACAGCTGAGTAGTTTGTTTCCACACTAGTACAGACCCTGTTTACTCTGTACAGAAACAGATTCCGTTATGTTAATCAGACTCTGGTTGTGACCAATACTGGAGAGAAAGAATTGTAAAGGAGGAAAACCATCTTGGCTCACAGTTTCAGGTTTCAATCTGCAGCCAGCTAGCTCCATTGCTTTCAGACCTGTGACATGTCACAACAGCATGGTAGGAAAAGTATGGTACAAAAGATTTTTTACTTCGTGACAGCCAAGAAAGACGAGGAAGGAGCTTGAAACAAGATACAGCTCCCAAGAACACACTTCTAGAGACCTACTTGCTCCAAGGAGGCCCCACAGCTGAAAATTTCTATCACCTGCCAATGATGCCATCAGATTATAAATCCATCAATGGATTGAATCATTGATTAGGTCAGAGCCCACATGATCTAACTATCTCTAGAGATGCCCTTACAGACACCCACTAAGATACACTTTACTGATCTCCTCAGCATCTCTCAGTCTAGGACAACCAAGATTAACCATTATAATTATAATAGCTCCACCTAAAACTCTGGGAAATGGAATTTTTCAACCTAAAATCAATGAAAAGAAATAAAATATTTAGAAGGTAGCTATTACTGACTGAGACATTTACTAGCAGTGACTTGTGCCCAAAGTTACCAGACTCTGGTTCATGGGGAGGCAACTCTTATCTACCAAAGCAGCACCTATATCAGGATCCTGTAGATAATGGAAATACCAGTCCTGCATAAGCTCCCAGGCACCAAAGGGCAATCTCCATGAGAGACCTAATAGGGATGCTCTGGTGGAGACCTGTCACTACCATCATCCACAATGTGCCAGACATGGTTGAGCACCGTGCTTCAGAGGTCCTGCCTCCTAAAGTTTAGAATCCAGTGACCCCAGGGTTCTGAGAAGGGACTCATTGCAACAGCAGGAGGAACTAGGCCTGGAAGGATCCAGATTGGCAGAAAATATTGACCAGAACTTGGTAGGGAAAAGCACAGGCCAAACAACACCTGAGATCAGCGCTACTGGAGTGAGAGGGGCAGGAGTTGTGTTGAGGAGCTCCTGGTCTCACAGTTGCTGTGTGGCAATTGTCCCTATGTTTATGGACTTTTGCTTCTCTTATCTAGAAAATGATAAATTTTAACTGGTCCTCAAATGTGCACTTATATATCTATATGTATATTTTAAGGGCTATAAGGCCCCTAGAATGAGGAAAATGTATTCATAAAAGAACAATAGAGTCCTTGTAGAAAGAGGCAGGTACAAAGGAATTCTTGGTAGTAAAATTCACCATGAGTCTTGTGGATGAAAGTTTCCAGAAAAACTGCATCTTGAAACGGAACCCTCTGTGAAGGCTGATCAACTGATTAGCACTTCAGTGATTGTGAAGAGTTTAGAATATTGCAAGTACAAAGCCTAATGACAATTTATCTTGAGCTATCTTTAGCCCCATAAATAGCCTGTCCTTGCCCACTTTTGTTTCTAAAGTCCTGTGACTAACAAGTTAAAAACCTTTTTAGGGGGCTGGAGAGATGGCTCAGTGGTTTAGAACACTGGTTATTCTTGCAGAAGACCCAGGTTCAAATCCCAGCACCCACATGGCAGCTAATAACTGTTCATGATTCCAGTTCCAGGGGATCCAATGGCCTCTTCTGTCCTCCGAGGGCACTGCACAACACAGGTGTGCTTACCTACATGCAGACAATACTTTCATACACATAAACTTAAAATAATAAATATTTTTTTAAAAAATCTTTTTGGAATGTATTACCAAAGCTCTAGCTCCTACCACCCCAAAAGCTGAGTGTTATCAGATAGCATCTGAGGGCTATAGCTGATATTTCTATTTTGGTATAACCACTTACTTAAGGTTTCCACCAATGTATTTGAGAAGTGTCTTCATTTATGGCTTTTCTTTGTTCTGTTACTATAAAAACTTCATGAAACTGCTTCTACATTGGAACATGGAATTTAGGGTAACACGAATCTGTGTTCCTGGGTCATGGTCACTCACATTTGGCTCTAGAATAAACTATCTCATCACCTTTGAGGTACAAGTTGTGCTTTTGTATCTCAAACACTTGGGGCAAGTTACTTTAACATCCTCCCTCTGAATGTGTGGCAAGTGACTATTCCTTGTACTTACACCCACGGAACTGGCAAGACGGTGAAGACGCCTGAGCTGATAGACACTCCATGGCACAGGGACACACAGTCACCGGCACTGAGCTGCCTACAACTGAACTTGTCAGGCACTTGCCAGCAGAATTTGCCCAGGGTAACAAAGACAAGAAGATGGAAGGCCTATCTCTCCCTAGCAACAAAAGATGAAGCATTGACATGACATATACAGTAAGATAGAAAAGTTTAAATTAAAAGGCAGAACCAAAGAAAAATCTAAGTCAGAACAGCTCAAGATAGGAAGTACGGGGTAAGTATAACTCGGCAGTAGTGTGCTTGCTTACTGCAAGGCTTTGGGTTTAATGCCTATGACCATGCACACACATGTGCGCACACATGACAAGAAATACATTAACTCTCAGATCTTCGAATAAGAGTCTTTTTAGTTCTAAAAAAAAGGCCACAGTTTGGCTCAGGGCTTGCATTCGGATCAAAAGGGAAGCATACTATATTACAAGGGAGTCAAAGGCTTACTGGTGGTATCTAGATGTAACAGCAAAGCCTGGCCAGTTGCAATTACAAGTTAAGCAGCAAGAGTCAAGTGTGGGCTGTTTCTTCAAGTACATAGCACTTGACAGACTCCTTGATGATGACTCCAAAGTATAAGTCTTTACAATCAGTTCCCAGCACAATGGGCAATATCTCTGTCTTCTGATGGTCCAGTTTAATGCAAAGATACAATCTAAACTCTCCACCTAAGGCTTGTGCTTAAGCAATCCTGTGCAATTGTTCAAAAGGAATAAGAAGTTTAAGGTTAAGAGTTTAAAAGTCTCTAAGCATGGTGTACACCTTTAATCCCAGCACTTGGGAGACAGAGGCAGGTGGACATCTGTGAATTTGACACAAGCATGGTCTACATATCTAGTTCCAGGCCAATACATGGTAAGACCTTGTCTCCCCCCTGCCTCAAAAAAAAAAAATTTAAGAGTTACTCACAATCAGGCTGTGGATTACTGACATTTCCTCATAGAAGGAAGAAGTTGGGAAAGTCACTGGACTCTCATCCGATGTTCCAGCTACTCCTCCCAGCTAACCATTTGTAGGAAATTCTGCCCTAACTACACAGGGCTGTGGGTCTGAGGAGGTGCTAGAATATATAGGTTCCCTGTTCCCCAGGGTGAATTCTGATAGACTCAAACTTCAGTTTGTGGGTCTATTTTGGGGATTTTATGAGGAGGCATCCATTATCATCCCTCAACCCCATACTCCTGCCCTACCTCCAGTGAAGGAATTCTCACAACAGTAACAGAAGAATTATCTTAAATAATCCAAAGTGAGCCACTTATAAGAGAAACATGAAGCCAAGACCAAGGAGAGTGTCAGGAGACTCAGTTTCCCTCTTACATTCACTCAAGGTTTTTGGAAGACTTTTTCCCTTATTACATTCTCTATTGCTATTTTGAATTCTAAGGGAAAATGAGTGATACTCTGGACACCATATTACAGCCTTGATCACAGTAAGACAAGCTGCATAGCCTTGGGCAGAGCTGCCTTACCTGTACCCGGTGCTGTTCCTACCAACCACCAGGTGCTTGGGCTGATTGTCACACGTGTAAAGGTTGAAGTCATTCTCAGGCACCAGGTCTACATCGTGGAATATAAAGCAGTCCCAGTTTTCCTCCTTAAGAGCTTCTATATAGCCCACATTCAGGAGTTTGGCTCGATTAAACTTTTTGGTTCCAGCCTATTGAGAATGGAAATTAAAATGTGAGCTCCTGAGACAGGCTTTCTCTTGTTCTCTGCTTTGGCACCCATTCAGGGATGGGTATTACTCTTGTTCACTTACGAGACTATATGCACTAAGATCTAACAGAGGAAATGTAATAATAAAAGATGCTTACATTTTTGCTTTATACTTCACACATATTTATATCCTCTAATTTAAAAACATCTCTTTGAGTCTGGAAACTAGTCACATGATAGATATTTTCTTAGCAAGAATAAAACGTTCAATAGATTGGTTGCATAGCAGTAAACTTTTTGATGTTGCTTTCTTTTGTTTTGTTTCAGACAAGATCTCATTTTGTAGTCAAGGCTGGCCTGGAATTTATAGCAATACTCCTGCCTCAGACTCTCAAGTGCTGAGATCGCAGGCATGAGCCATCATGCCCAGCCAGCAAATAGTCCCTTTTTTTAGGTTTAATTTTCTTTTTAATTATGTGTATATGCTTGTGTCTGTGTGAGTGTATGCCACATGAGTACAAGTACCCTCAAAGGCCAGAAGAGGGCATCAGATTCCTGGAGCTGGAGTTACAGGTGGTTTGTGAACTGTCTGACATGGGTGCTAGGAACTGAACTCTGGGTCCTCTAGAAGAGCAGTAGGAGCACTTAACCACTGAGCCATCTCTCCAGCCTCTCAGCAAACACTCTTAATATCATTGAATAGTATACTTAAAAATGAGTAAGAGAAGCCAGGCATGGTGGCACACACCTTTAACACCAGCACTTAGGAGGTAAAAGCCTCTATGAGATTGAGGCCAACCTGGTCTACACAGTGAGTTCCAGGCCAGATGGGCTACTAGGGAGACTCTGTCTCAAAATCAAAGCAAAACAAAAAATGAATATGATGGTAAAAATAAAAATAAATAGCTGAGATGATAAATTTTATTTTGTGTGTATCTTATAAAAATTAAGGTAGTTTTAAAATACAAATACAAATAAATCAACAGTAGTAAATTATACACTGAAATTTTATTAAGAGGCTAGACATCACGTTAGATGGGGTGGCACCTACTTTTAATCCCAGCACTTGGAAGGCAGGGGCAGTCGGATCTCTGTGAGATAGAAGCCAACCTGGTCTAAATAGTGAATTCCAGGAGGGCTGAGGCTATGGGAGACCCCATCCAAAAAAAAAAAAAAGTAACCTCATATTACATGTTCTTTTAAATTCATATTTTTAAATGTCTATATTAATTCCATGCATAATTTTAAAACTTCTTGAACATACTAGTCATACCAATTACTGTTAGTGCTTCCCTACTGAATGATCTCAGTCTTAACCTTTTACATAGATATTGAACTTCTAAGAGACTTAAGAGCGTGCCAGAAAGAATTTTTAAAAAGATGGCTATAAACTGCAAAGTTTATTGCTAATATTTCTAAGCTACTTAAAGTTTTCTAGGACATCATTTAAAAAGATTCTGTTATAACACTAATGGCAGAGGGTTAATCCACACAGTGGCTTTACATAGAGATTTGAAGACAACATGACTTGCAATATCACCAACACTTTGCATACAACATGACTCAAAAACTTTATAGGATTAGTTTCTTTAAGGCTTAAGTGGATAACCAAATTCTGTAAGAATAAATTCTAACTTGATAAACAGTTTATCATAAGACTATAAGCAGATTTTAGAAGTTACCATAACATTTTCCTGAGAAGAACAAAAAGTGAATATGTCCATTCATAAAAATAGTATTGTCCCTATCCAGATGTGATGGCACACACATGTAACCTCGGCAGTCTGGAGGCTGAAGCAGAAGGATTGTGACTTTCAGGCCAGCCTGGGCTATATAGTGAGATCCTGTCTCACAAAAGAAAATGAAAAAAGAAAAAAAGAGCCAGGCATGGTAACCAGGGTGAAATATATTAGTTCAAAAGCCTACTGAAAACTACACATATAATATCTGTATATGAGTGCATGTGTGTATCTGAATGCTATGTAATAAGAAGCACAGTGCCAGACAAGAGGAACCTCCCTGCAAGCTGTTGGTAAGGGTAGTCCAAGAGACTCCCAAAATAATACAGGCTACTGCCAAAGCCCTTGATTGACCCCCAGAACTTGGAGGAAAAACTCTATTGCTGAAAATATTTTGGACACAGGACTTGGAGCAATGGAGCTGGAACTGATCTGGGAAGCCTCCTCTCTGAAGACTAGCTCTCATAGTATCAGAGGATACTACGCAAGCTGCTAAGGGAGAAAATCAATGAATAGTCCAACCCCAGCTATAAAACCCTAACAACCACAACAATATCCAGCACAGCAAACTATTTTATCTTGGGGGTAATCAACAGCTATCTTATTGGGCTTAAAGCCTGCTCAATGAGAGGGAACTCATATGTGGTACTGTAAACATAGTCAAATACATAAGGCTGAAGCAGTCATAGATCCTAGAGAAAACCTATGTCTGTCACATCCCTAGACAAATGTAATTTCTTACTGTATGTGATAGAATATGTGAACTGCAGAAGAGCCACAAGCCTTATTATGGAGAGCCATAAATCCCTTAAAGTGTCTAACTGGCCCTAAATTGGCAGCCTGGCCTTGCACAAGCCTTATCACTCCCTGGACCTGAGAGAGACTGTTTGTGGAGCCCACCTGTCTCCTTTAGGGCTATAGATAACTCACCCACCTGCCTGAGCAAATGATCCTCAGAAAAGAGACCCTCAAGGACACCAGGCCCTGGCAGAGTTAACGCTTGCAGCTGTTGCAGCAGAGTTCCTATATAAGACCAGACTGTTCCATCTTCAGTACACAGATAATCATGCCTCGAGGAAAAGTTATCAGCCCTTTGCTGGGCTTCCTGAATCCACGGAGCACATTCCTTACCTTTAGCAGGTTTGGTTCTGACTCTTATTTCTAAACTTTAAACTCCTTCCTTTTTCTATACTCCTAAATCCAACAGTATGCTAAATATGGATCCTTATATATACAGACAAGTGTACTTCTCAGCACTCATCAAAGCTTCTTTTTGCAACAGATGGAGACTATTACAGAGTTCCACAACTGTTCACACACAGAGAATAAGTATCTGTGAGATGACAGCCCCAAGTGACACATCTACAATGGCACCTCAGACACAGATGTTTAAATTGATGTCTCAGGGCTGGAGAGATGGCTCAGCAGTTAAGAGCACTGACTGCTCTTGCAGAGGACCCAGATTTGATTCCCAGCACTCACATGGAGCTAACAACTGTCTGTAACTCCAGTTCCAAAGGAATCCGACACCCTCTTCTGACTTATGCAGGCATTGCACAACATGGGTGCACCTACCTACATGCAGGCAATACACATATACACATAAAATAAAAATAACAAATAAGACTTTTCTTTAAAAAAAGGTCTCATTTTTCTTTTAACAAATTTTAATGCCAAATGCAGGCATCTTTAGTCACCATGACCTCAGTGCTGGACTCTTCAAAGGTGGCCTACAGTTACATGGCGTTCCTACTAAACACTTCTAAAAACCAAGTGAGAAAGTCAAGAAAGTGAAAAATTAAGTGTAGCGTGTCTAGTCAAAGTAAGTAAAAAGCCACAGAACTAGCTGACTGTAACACCAAGCACTCTGTCAAAGACCTCCCCTTAACAGCTACACTCAACAATGAAATGCAGAGGTCCAATGCCCCATCATGTAGCACACAGAAAATACAGAAAGAACTAGGAGAGGCAGGAGATCTCAGGAGACATCTAGCAGTGAGCACTGGCCACCAAGGAAGGTTAGGGCAGTAACTTCTCCCAGAACTTGGTCCCATGACTCCACACTTTGGGGTCAGAATTTCCTCTGCTCTCTTCGAGAATAAGGTAAGAGAACCGTCCTTTGATCATGTTCCTTTTACCCAAAACAAAGGAGCATATGGCTGAGTTCCTGAGAGCACAGAGCTTAGAAAAGCCCCACACTCACCTGGTGGATGATGTAGATGCCATAGTCCAGCTGCTGCCTCTGCAGGAAGGGGTGTAGGTGTTCCAGCAAGTACATCAGGTGCTTCTCTCTATTCCGGTGCGGAATGAGGATGGCCACCCGTTGTAGAGCCTTACATTCCTCAGGGTGATACCGGCCTCTGGACACCTTGGGGTTTTGGGCTTGTACTTCCTCCAAGGTGAGGTCTGGCTTGAAAATCAGCTTAGTCCGGCCTCCTGCAATCAACATGGGACACACATCATATAGGAGCTGTCGTGTAATATGCTCAAAGTTACATAGCTGATTCACATGAAGGCTTGGCCCTCTGCCCGGCACACTGTGAGCCCTATAGGAGAGTTAGCTCTTATGACTCTTATTCAGTTAAAGTCGAATTTAGTCATGAACTGTACAAAGAACAATGAGTTAAAGATAACAAGCTGAAAAAGCAAGTAATTGGCATTTAAGAGCATTTCTTTGTAGCTGGGTGAGCTAACCTGGCTCCATAATCCATTTGCGAGTGGGACATGAAGGCTGTCCCAACCACCCCACTGACCAGCAAAGGCCAGGGCTAGGCTGAGAAACCCCTCCACTCTTTTCCTTCTCCAAAGCCCAGAAGGTTGAGCTATAAAAATGAAGGGCATTCTATGGAGTCAAACTCAGAACCCTTTTCCCCCTTCTGCCCTAAACTGGGCATGCCTAGCCCCCTGAGGGCGAAGTGCTAGAAAGAAGGAAAAACCTGCCTGGCTCCCCAGCCGGGGCAACAGACACCCACACCACTACAGCACTTCCCCCACCATGCAGTGCTGCCATGATGGACACTTCCAGCCAAACACAGCAACTGCTGAGTGAGTATGGTAGGAGCCCAATGACAAAACCAAAGACCATCCATGTTAACCAATCCTGCATAAGGCTTCAAACATCAGGCTGAAGCAACCGACCCCCCTTCTTCTGACCTGAATTAGAGAATATACTGACTAGTAAGGGGAGGCAGAGCTCTGCTTAGGAACTCAGCTAAGCCCTCCTGCATCCCACCTCCTTCCCCGACAGCTCCCTTTTTTAAACTTCACATTTACTGGACAGGCTTTGAAATCAGAAACAGCCTGCAAGTTGAGCAATCCCTTTTTATGCAAGCATCCTATCTCAACAGCCTGATACATACTGAGACAGAGGATCTGAAGTTTCTGCAGCAGGCTAAGAACAACAGACCTGCAGAGCCCCAGGCTATCTCACAGATGACTCTTGAGTATGAGCAGGAAGCTAGAGCTCCCTTGGGGGTGGGGCAGCCGGACTGCAGAGCTGGAATGTGGAAGGGTCACCCCACTCCATCCTGCTTGCTCACTGTCTCCAGAGAAAGACCAACAGATGAACGGCACAGCAGGGGTAGTTGTACATGGGGAACCTAAGATGTGATCTGCTGGGCAGTCCCAGAATCCTTTCTGGAAGAGGAGATCTGAGCTTCAGGTGACTAGAAAAGAATCCACTAGGGAGACAACAGACTGAAGAAAAGCATTCTGGGAAAAAGAAACAATACAAGACAAGGCTTAGAGGACTGTCTGGAAAAGTACAATCACTGTGATATTCTGGAGACACAAGATGTATGAGAAATAACACTGAGTGGGTCTTGTTTCCTCTCTCTCTCTCTCTCTCTCTCTCTCTCTCTCTCTCTCTCTCTGTGTGTGTGTGCACTAAAACTAATTTACTGTTCACTAAAGCTGAAAGGCAAGACATCAAAGGCAATTCAAAATATACAAGATACTGAAGGAATTAACATGAAAGACGGCACTGAAGAACTTAGTCCTGTCCTCGACTAAAAGGAGATGCTAACAGATAAAACACAAGTGGACTCACTGACTATGCATGCATCCTCCAGTGTCCATCCATGAGAATATGCCCAGGCAGCACACTAGTCTTAGGAGGAGGAAGAGAACCATGAACCCAAATCAGTGGACTTTATTCTATGCCACAGATACTTCCGTTCATGCGTATATAGAATGAATAATGAAATCACATCATATAATCATATTTGAACCATGTATCATTGAGAATAAACAAATTATACCCTGAACAAGTTATGCCACAGAAGCCATTCACAGCATATACTTCCAATTTGTAAAGATAAAAATCAGGAAAAATTTACTGAGTAGTGAATATTAAAGTCAAGGTACTGACTGAAAGAAATATGGGCCTTAAGGGGTTCTAGTGAGATACCGTCTCTTAATTTACATACTAGTTCCACAGCTCTATTCATTTTGTAAAACTATATACATTTCTGAGTTTTGTACTTTTTTGCACATGTGTCAGAGTTAAATAATTTTTCAAAGTTCCTGCGAAAGAAGAAAACAGCAAACACTTACTGAGCTTTGGAGACACAGAAGGGCACTTGTCAAGCTCTGCTTCTGTCATGTTGGCATCGCTGGTCAAAGCTTCCTTCTTCCCCAAAGCCATGACCTTGTTGAAATTAGCTATGAAATTCTTTGCCTTGGGGATCTCTTGAATAGCATCCACAAAGTAGTTACTGGTGGCCCAACCAACCACCGTCAGGCACACGGTGAAGAGCAACAGTAGTCGGAATTTGTAGGAAAGGTGGAAAGGCAGGTTGCAGCCCATGCCTTTTATTTTGTGAGTGACAGGTCTCTGTGGTTTGATGCAACCCAGGAAGTTTCAGGTTGAACTTTTCCAGTCTGAGAACTTGATGACAGCTGGCAATGTGATGGCTGCTTCTGTCCAGCAGTTCTGTCCCAGAGCTGTCTAAAAGCAATCACAAAGGACGTGTTGTTCTGAATGAAAAGCCTGTCTTGAAATGACATGCTTCAGCACACACTGGAAATCTATCCCGATGGAGCTTGACCAACAGTAATCTTAGCTTGCCCTTTTAGAGTCCAGGGACTTTAGAAGTAGATGGCTCCAACCATCCACACATCACAGGCTTTCTCTGGCACCCACCAAGAGAAACTACTTCCAGACACAGACAGAAGGCAAAAGAAAGCGAGGGACTATAATTTCCCCTCATTTTTGGTCTGGGCACAGCCTAAACTGCAGGCTCAATGGCTCTCTTCCTCAGTCACCCATTCCTGGCCCAGCTTTAAGAGAGGTGAACAAAATGTGAACACTTACAGAAGTGTGTTTGTACCCAGAGAGTAAATAAAGACCAAAGTTCTCCATGTCAAAGCTAGAAAAGCAAGGCACCCAACAATGGGAATGAATGCTGTGCTCTTGGTGAGACCCTGGCTGCAGACACAGCCCTGTCAAGGAGGGGTAAGAAACAAAGAGATCTCAACAGAGGAGGTCAACAATCTATAACAAAAACAAGTAGAGCTAGAGTACAGCATTAAAGATCAGGGACTTGGATTTACCTCTACCATATATCAGCCTCATAGTCTATGACCATTCACTTAACTAAGCCTAGTTTCTTTATCTCTAAAGTGGGGATAAAATATCTACTTTGGGCTGGAGAAGTCACTCAGTGGTTAAGAGCAGGTACTGCTCTTACAGAGGACCTGAGTTGGGTTCCCAGCACCTACATAGCTGCTAATAACCATCTGTAACTCCAGGAGATCCAGTGCCCTCTTCTGGCCTCCAGAGACACTGCACACATGGTGCATTTACATGCAGGCAAAGCACACACATAAAATAAAGATAATAAAATTTTTCAAGTAAAAAAAAGTAAAAGGATGCAAACCATATATGCATGCTATGATTACAAAGAACAAAGGCAAAAAAAACAAAAACAAAGAACAAAGGCACAAAATTAAGAATAATTCAGAAAGAAATACACTTAAAAGTGAATGGCAATTACATGTATGGGATAAGGCAAAAGTAGTTTTTCTTATATCATTAGATAGCTTTATATCATAGTTTAGATAAGTTTACATTTGCATTGTCTAATATTATGGTTTGAATGTGGGTTATCCCCCAGAAGATTCATCTGTTGGAAACTCAGTCCCAAGTATGACAGTGTTGAGAGGTACCGGGACTTTTATGAGGCACAACCTACTGAGAGCTGGTTAGATCATTGAGGATCTACCCTTGGAAGGGATTGGGCTACTTCTCATGGAACACTAACTTGATTCTTGAGAGAGTTGTCATAAACTAATGGGCCTACCTCTTCCGCATGCTCTGGCTTCCTGTCTCATTGATCTATCCCTCTCAAATACATTCCACCATCATTCTGACATCTACCACAAGGTCCTCACCAGGGCCAGGTGAATGCCAGTACCATGGCCTTGAACTTCCACAACACTGAGTCAAATCAGCCTCTTTTTAAAAAGTACCCAGCCACAGGGATTTTATTTTAGTAAAAAAGAAAAATAGGCATACAAGATGAAGGGAGAGTTGAGAGGAAGTAAGGGTTGGATATGATCAAAACACATTGTAATAAATTCTTTAAAAATTGATAAAAATACTAATAAAAACAGACATACATATATAGTTTTGTACTTAGGTATATTTTACCCAAGAACTATAATATGTTCTTGTTTCATGAAAATCAAGGGTTTTTTTAAAGTGAGACATGAAGAAGTGGCGACTACAACAAAACAATCTTGATGGCGCTCAACATAATTTCGCCCTCACACTGAAAGGGTAGCTTCAAAAACTAGTTCTAGACTAGTCTGTAGAAAACAATTCTTTTCAAACCCAATGTTACAGATGGAAATAGAGTCTTAGGTCAGACCACAAAGAGAACATTTGAACAAAGAGGAAACCAAATGTGACAGCCAGTGCTTAAGAGCACTATGGAGGCACTGCAGGAAGATGATGGCGGCACAAAAATAACTGAGAAGGGCCCTTCGTTTGTGCACCCGGCACTGGGACTAATAACTTTGCGTGTTAACTTACTGAATTCTCACCTTCCTCCGGACAGGATTCTGGGGCTGCCCCACCAGAGCACATCCTGGGTTCCCTATGTACCACTACCCCTACTGTGCCACTCACAGTGTGGTGCTCATCTGTTTGTCTTTTTTTCTCTGGAGACAGTGAGCAAGCAGGATGGATGGAGTTGGGTGACCCTTCCCAGCTGTGAAGTTCAGCTACGGCTCCCCGTGCACGCTAAGAGAGAGTTGTTTGTGAGGTGGCCTGTGGCTCTTCACAGACCTGTTCTTAGCCTTCTGCAAAAACTGTTGCTCCTCTGTTCTGATCTGCTCACCCTGCTATAATAAAAAACCTTGGATATATTTCTCACAGTTCTGGAAGTTTTCTGGAAGTTCAAGATCAAGGTCTAGCCTGGTCAGGGCCTGTTGTAGGTCCCCTGACTGGCTACATCCCCATATGGCTTTTCTTTGGTACACATATAGATAAAAATCCAGATTTCTTTCTCTTGTTCTTTATATAAGATGATTAATCCCAATCTGGAGGTTCTACCTTTGTCACCTTAACCTAGGTGCTTCCCTAAGGCCCCACCTTCAAATACCATCACACTGGGGACCAGAACTTCAACCACCTATGGAGAATGAATTTCACTCTCCTCAGTTTTTAAAATTACATTTATTTATTTGGGACAGGGGGAGAGGAGGGGGCACATAGCGCGTGTGTGGAGGTCAGAGAACAAACTTGTAGGAGTCTGTTCTCTCCTTCCATCATGTGCATCCCAGGGACTGAACTCAGATGTCAGGCTTGGTGGCACTTTACCCACTGAGCCATCTCACCAGCCCAAGTCTCCTTGTTTTACTAATAAGAAACAAAGGTTTAGAGAGATCAATTAATTTGCCCAGGACCACACGCCTGGTTAAGGGGCAGGGCTGGGGTGTGAGCCCCAAGGCTCAGTTTCAAGGACTGTGCTTCCTTCCACAACAGTCCTCACACAGATACTTTCTCTTTTCTTCCCTTAATGCCTGGGTAGGCCAGACACACACACCTGAAAAATGCAGGTGCCTCTACCTCTCCCACACCTTCCTGTCCCTTTCCTTGGCCTCTGTTCAAATGCCTGCCTGGAGGCCTGCTCTCTTCCCTCCAGTTGGCATGACTCCAATCAGGCTCCGGGAGCCAGCCAATCTCCTGTGAACCTAACTGTAGGAGACTTAAATGTGGGTATTGGAGATCATGTTTTATAAAAATCTCTTGTAAATGTGGCTGGGAACATTGCTTTTCTAAGAGCTATTTATGGAAACACTGCCTTGAAAGAACCGAAGGAACCTATGATCACAGATTCACTGCAGCATGGAAGTGGAGGACTCTAAGGAATATATATCCAGATGGGCGTGGTGGCTCACGCTTTTAATCCCAGCACTTGGGAGGCAGAGGCAGGTGGATCTCTGTGAGTTCAAGGCCAGCCTGGTCTACATAGTGAGTTCCAGGCCAGCTGGGGCTACAGGGAGACCCTGTCTCAAAAAGACCAAAACAACAACAACAACAACAACAACAACAAAACCCAGAACATATATCCAGTGCTTTCATTTACAGGGTAGGGAGAAGCTTGACTATGAGAAATAGGAGGGTATTTGGTTTGAAATCTCTGTGCCTTCTGCACATTTTTATTGTGAACCTAAAACTGCTCTAAAAGGTTTTTTTTTTTTTTAAGATTTATTTTTAAATATGGTGGGGGAGGTTTGCACATGAGCACAGGTACCTGAAGAGACCAAAAGAGAGCATCAGATTCCCCTGGAGTTACAGGCTGTTGTGAACTGTCTGACATGGACGCTGGGAACTGAACCTGAGCCCTGACAAGAGCAGTACCTGGTCTTAACTGCTGAGCCATCACTCTAACCTTAAAAAAATACTTTTTGAAAACACTCTACCTGAGAAATAAAGAGCTATGAATGATAAACTAATATTCCTGAACTGCAAAATGTGGAATTTGTTCAGACAAGACACTTATTCTTAAAGCAAGAAGCCATTACTGATGACAACTCAGGCCTCTGTTGCTAATCCCACTTCTTAAGACCAGTTAAAAACAATCACCACTATTTATAAGCTTAAGCGTCCTCCATAAAACTGATGGTACAGAAGGACGTTCCTTGATTTCTGTGAGAAAACAACAGAGGTATAAAGGGTTTAGAATATTTCCTTGTGCCTTTCAAAAGAGATCTCCAGCCTCATCCCCAGCCTATCAGCTAAGCAACCAGAGGTTTGGGGGCAACCCCTCTCTGCATGTTTCTCTAACTGTACAACTTGGGAGGAGGGGACACTCTTGCTTCATAGCATTGTTGTAATAAAAAGATACACCCAAATGCACCTACCACCTCTCCAGGAATATGAGTATTTACTGACTCCTAACTACCACTGTGATTCATGTTCAAAGGTTGCCAGAACACTAGCCAAGATGAATCATAATCAAGCCCCTGCAATTACATGTTGAAATATGGGTACTTTTTATTTTCTATCCCTCTGTAAGTTCCACCTTTCTTTCAATGGGTATATATTTTTATTATTAGAAAAACAATGACTTTTTAAAAATATTTTATTATTTTTATTGTATGTGTATGTGTGTATTGCCTGTGTGTAGGTAAGTGCACCCATGTTGTGCAATGCCCTCAGAGGACAGAAGAGGCTGTTGGATCCCCTAGAACTGGAGTTTCAGACAGTTGTTAGCTTCCATGTGGGTGCTGGGATTGGAACCTGGGTCTTCTGCAAAAACAACCAGTGTTCTTAACCGCTAAGCCATCTCTCTAGCCCCAACAATGACTTTTTTAAAAGAAAGCACCATTAAATTGGGCTTGCCTGTACTATTATTGAAGAAACACTGAGAGCCTGAACTCTTACTAGAGCTATTTTCTCATTCAATCAAAGCCATCAGCAATGACTGGGGAATCTAA